TCGTAAATTTTTTTCCCAAAAGTTCAAAACGTTACACACCAGCTTTTTTTCGTGCTTCTAGGCTCTAAGTTATATAATTTTTTTCTGGGGGGTTTTTGTATGTGTTTTTTTTTTGCGTTGTTTCTTGTGAGTATCAAGGTGAAACCGTAAAAAAGATAAACTAATTTTGTTCATTTTAAAGACAAAGAGCAAAGAACGGGTAGGTGAAAATACAAGAATCAAAGAAAAATAAAAACACTTTCAGCCTTTGCACTCTGCAACGGAGCTGTAGCTTCTGTTCTCGGCGGTGGCTTTCGAGGGGAGCGATCTGCTCTTCTTTCGCAAGGGAATCTGATGCGCTCGACGCAGTGGAGCTTGAGGCGATAGCGGCTTCGCGGCGGTTGCGGAACCATTCACGCTCCTGCGCACGTCGCCGCTCCTTCCACTCCCGCTCTTCTTCCTCCGAAGAAAGGTTGCCGCCGTAGCTCATAGATGGCGGTAGCTATCCAGATTGTTGTTTCAAGATTTATTTGTCCACAGACACGATCCTGTGGAAACTATCTCTTAACAGTTCCTCTGTCAAACACTTAGGGACAAGGAGACGGCATAGTTCCTTCAACTAGCAACGGACATTTATTGATGTCTCGTTCAATAGGTACAATCTCTTTCCCAACTGATTAAACTAAAGAAAAACGTACATAAAAAAGCATCCTGAAAAAAGAAGAAAATCTACCCCATATGTTATCTCCATACCATATTTGCACAACTCTACACACAAACTGAAGAAACTGGCAGCGCACTTCAACACTCCAGTTTTCTTCTCCTTCAAGTTGCGCCTCAAGCATCTTTGTAAAAGAGTTAACAAAAACGAAGCCCTCAAAGTATGTGTCATCAAACATGCCAATCAGGCTGTTCTCTGTGAGGACCAAGTGGTATGCTTGATCCTCTTTTCGTGTGATGACCGATACATTGGTCAGACACGACGTTGCCTAAACACAGGATTAAGAGAGCACATCCTCAAGGTTTTCCGTGCTTCAAGCGAACCTTATGATTCAATTGCGGTGCATAAACGCCTCTGCACGAACTGCGGAACTCGTTTTCAGGACACCAGTATAATTGAGGAGCACAACAACAAGCTCTGCCTAGAGATTATTAAAGCCTATAAGATAGCTAATGACGAACACAACGTTGGTGCTCCCTCTCTTGGGCTCTCCGAGGTTGAGATGAACTACCTGAAGCCACAACTGAATTGGTCACTGGGATCATCTATCTGAATCGTCAAAGATTTTTACAGCGAAGCTGTTTAAGACAAGGGTTGCGTAGATATTTCGTCTGTATCAACAAAACTCAGAGAGGGCTCACACCGCCCTCTCTAAGACACGCGAGACTTGACCGCCGGGTGGCGGTCCCACCGCGCGTGTCTAGTTTCCTCCGGCTCCTCGGGGCGGCGATAGTCCTTGACATGTGTGTGCGTACCTTTCGTCACGATGACCACCGATCAAGACAATAAATGTGTTCGTACCCTTGGTCAAAACTCTGTGTCACATCTGTATCGTGTTTCTATTTCTTTTTTCTTTCTTAACTTCGTCTTTTATAATTCTTTTATTTCGGGGGTTTCCCTGATCATGATGTAGGAAACCCGAGACTGTAGCAAAAGCAGGGAAACTTGGTCGAAAAAGAAAGACAGGGGAAAAGAAAGTTCGTTTCCCCTGTCTTTCTTCTTCAACCAAGTTTCCCAGCTTTTACGACAGCCTTCGGCTTTCTACGTCGTGATCAACATCCACCAGCTCGCCTGCGCATTCACTGTTTTTTCCTGGGGTTTCCTTCTTTTCCGTGTGAGTTTTTTTATGTATCTTCTTCAGTTTAATACGTTGGGAATGAGATTGTACGCATTGAAGGAGACATCAGTAAATGTTCCTTGCTAGCTGAAAGAACTGTGCCGTCTGTCCTTGTCTCTAATTGTTTTTATTATTTCTTTGATTTTTGTATGTTCAGTTGCTGGTTGACCAAACTATATGTCTCTCTTGAAAGATGGCCCCTATGAATGCCTGTAACGCCTCCACAGCAAAACGCGTTAATTCAGTAAAAATTAACATAAAAGTAACGTACGTCACTTTTTATCAGTAACGGAAAAGTTAATGCGTTCATTTTATTTTGAGGTAACGACAGACGGTAAGGCGTTCTTTTTATTTACAAGTAACGTGCAACCTATTTCGTTACTTTTTTTTTATTTTGTAACGCCTACAACGCAGGTATTCGTCACACGTATACAACCAAGTAAGACCGAGAGAGGCCAGACCAGTTTTTAAGCCTCTAGCGACGTGTTAGGAACTCCTCCGCTGCAGCGCATCCGGTCCTAAGGCGTCGCAAAAGGCGTTGAAAACCGGTCTGGTCTCTCTCGGTCTTACTCGGTTGCACACATGTGAACGGCGCTTTATTCACCAAATTAATAGCAGACACAAAACAAACAGCGTTCCTGAGCAAAGCGTCAACAGAGTAATCCCGCCTGAGCTTCACGCACGTATAAAATATTTTTATATATATCTCTAATGTTCCCCCGTTTAAAATGATAAAAAGAAAGGGGATTTTGAAAGAACAACAAAAATATCCCCGGGGACGCCGGCTTTTGGGATAGGCGGGAAAACGTTCGTTCCAGGTAACCTTGAAGACTGCAGCTTGAATGTTTGTTAGATCGGGCACGCGCAAAAATTCGGGTACTTTGTTTCGTTTTCTGTTCTTTGCTTCGGTCCGGCGGAATCCCAGATTGCCTTGAAGGTCTCTCAATTCGTACGCCCAAAAGAATTAAGGGCTGCGCGACATAGCACTGCGCATGGCAACCTCACGCTCGATGGGCTCTGTATATGTTTTCTTTTAGCGCGCTCGTGCTAAGGATTTACGTTTAGTCAATCGGCGCGTTGCAAGGAACAATGTCTGAAACGAATTAAAAACAAATCAGACAGAATGCACGTCTACAAATAAAAACACGCGGTATTACATGGCGTTCGGCTGTGCCTTTTTTCGTATTTTTCTGGGGTAATATCCGTTGAATCGTGGTACGAACGCGCAAGTTTGTGCAGTTCACGTCAATGAAAACAAAATAAACAAATGCTTCGTAATTGCCAGCAAAAAAAAAATCTGATGAAGTCCGAAACAAGATCATTGAAATCTATTGGTTTATTTATTTGCAATACTTTAAAACTTTTCGGGCTCTTTGGGGAGGGTTCATTTGAAAAAAAAAAATCTTAATCAGAAAGCCGCACGAGAATAGTCAGCACAATAAAATACTATTTTGTAAGCTGTTCCTGGGCAACAAGAATGTTTACAAGAAAATTACCCTGATATTGATACAATATTGTTTTGTCACAGCGAAATATACTCGGAAGGCACGGAAGGAACCCCGCCTGATCCCGCGGGATTATGAAGTTTGGATATTGATCCAATTTAATAGAAACCTGTCGAATCCAAGGCATGCGAAGTGCAAGTTCGTCTGCTTCTTGCACAGTAGTTGCGATGATGTCAGAACGCCGAGCTCTTATTGCTTCATTGAAAAGATACTGGGTAGACCTCAAGACATCTCCATTGAGGTCTACCCACTATCCTTCCAATCAAACCTAATCAGAGCTCAGCGTCGATCTGACGTCACTACAACTCCTGCGCAACAAGCAGACGACTTGCTCTCTGCAGAAGAATCCAATCGTCTGTGAACATTCGTGTATTACGTTTAACACAAGGAGCTTTACCCTTGTGCTGCAGCAATTCTTGCGTTAGAAAAAGAGGAGCCGTGTTTTATCCCACAGAGTAGATGTGAGGACTAATTTGTTATTTCAACATCATTTCAATACTTTCATGGCCACCGTATAAAGAATCTTAACATCGCTTGTTTCGCAGCGCACTAACAAATTACTTCCCTCTGTAATGCCCTTCGGGACCCCGAGGGTATTTGTAAATAAATAAATAAACAAGTAAATCTAACCGCAGCGGTAGCCGATACGAGGAGCGTATACCGACGAGCGCGAAGATGAAAGGACCCGCTCTGCACTCAAGCTGCCAGGAACTACCGTCAAGTAGTACTTCAAACCATACCTCATCCTCCCCCCCCCCCCTCCTTTTTTCATCCCTTTCTCCCTCCCTGTGCAGAGTAGCCAGCTAGGACAGAAGTCCAGACTTACAACGCTGCCCTTCAATCATCATTATGAAAAAAAAAAATAACTCCGAAGATTACGATCGTGGCATATAGGGGTCGGTTTTTATACGCAGCGGCCAAAAGGTCTAAGTGACACGAACATTCGTTACCATATTCGATGAAAGAAATACTGTTTCCAAATTACTGGCGACACTTTAACCGCATTGTTGAAAGCTTGGCGCAACCGACCCATGCTAAAGATTCGATTACGTCGTTGCGCAAACATTCGATATAAAGGAGTTCGGAGACCCTTCGCCGTTGTTTTAAAGAGCACCCACTGCTATACTCCGTTTCGCCTGACTATGTACGACGACCAATGGCGCACGCCACGTGACTTGGCACTCCCCGCCTATCTCCGCCCAATCGGAAGGGCTCATGACAGCCTCCGAGCTATGGATTGACTCCTTGTGGCTCATAGCGTCCGTTCCTTCCATCGCAAGCTTGAGCTATGTGTACAGCGAAACGACATCGGATCGCGACAAAGCCCGTTGCCCAACGCGAAAGCAGGACGCGTAAAAAAGAATGGCGATGATTGATGATATCGTTCAGGCTTGTAGCTGCTATAGGACCGTTCGTGCAACTGGCAGCTTCAAAGCGCCATCGTACTAAATTGAACGAGCAAATTGTACGCGCGATCAGCTATTATAACATCCTTTTTTGTGGAGATTGTTGCGTGATTCGCTTTTCCTTCATCTAACATTGTTCATCATACGACTACGAGACGACAGGAAAAGTAATTGTGATGAAAATAATCGCTGGAGAAGGGGAACAAGAGGGACAAAGGACAAACACAAATTTCCGAACACAGCTAGGTGACTGGTGCGCGATCGAAAAAATCCGCCTGGTCCGGGTATTGAACCCGCGACCTCTCCATTAAAGATGGAGCGCTCTACCAACTGAGCTAACCAGGGACTAGACGTCAGTAGAGCAAACGGGTTTTATCAGCTGCCACCAGTCTAACACCAACAACGGTGTTCCCCTTCTCCAGGTATTATTTTCGTCATTCTTGTCCAGCTCGCTTGCGCCTTTGCATTTAATTGCATTATAATCATAACCTTAAATGGCAAGCTTCACCCTTGTTTGTGTTAGACTGGTAGCAGCTGATAAAACCCGTTTGCTCTACTGACGTCTAACCCCTGGTTAGCTCAGTTGGTAGAGCGCTCCACCTGTAATGGAGAGGTCTCCGGTTCGATACCCGGACCAGGCGGATTTTTCCGGTCGCACACCAGTCACCTAGCTGTGTTTGGAGATTTGTGTTTGCCCTCTGTCCCTCTTGTTCCCCTTCTTTAGGGATTATTTTCGTCATTATTTTCAAGCTCGCTTGCACCTTTTCACTTAATTGCATTATAATCAAAAGTAATTGTAGTGCCACCGTGTTCAGGCGTTGTCCATGGTGTCTCCGCTCTAGATCATAACTTTAGCCAGTCAAGTACCACTGCTTGTTCATAGGGTCCAAAACGCGCAGTATCCTGCAATGCATCTTGAGGAACAGCTTGCCCACAGTTTCGGTTTTGATTTGTCAACTTCACTTAACGACATCACCTTACAATCAAATAGGGCGTTTGCATTTAGTAATATGTGAATTTCTTAAATTTATAGTAAAATGTAGGTGTTGCCTACCAGTACAGATAAAATGCTAGCTGGAGAACGCTTTTTTGGAGGCTCCCGGCGTGTCAGAGTCTGTGCGCTTGAAAACAGGAAAACGAAGGCACATATTGAAGAAGAAGTATACTGGTCCGGTCATTCTGTTCGATTTCTTCAATGAGTTCTTGAATTATCCGTTTGCCTGGATGTTCACTTTTACTTTGGACTGCCATGGCAGCCAGGCCGCCAGAAATGTGTGGGACGCGGCCAGTGATACTCCTGCTCTCCGCTTAACCTGGGCAGATCCGTAGGGCCGCTGCTTGCATCTACGGATTTATTTTGTGAAGACCAGAAACACATCCCGCCCCCTCCCCAGTGAACTCCATCTTTCTTGGGAAACCGCTCCCCTTATCTGGCATTTTCTTATTGCGGTGGGGACTTTTTTAAGTATTTCCTGCCCCGCGCATGATCCCTAAAGGTTGGGGAATACGTAATCCCCATGTCCTATTTTCTGCAACATACGCCTCAATGAATGCCGATTTTCTTTTTCTCCAACACCGGCAATTGACACCGAAAAGTCACCAAACCTGTGCTGGGGAAAGTATTAAAAAGCCCCAAAACATCCACGAGTTTCAAATAGGACAAACTCCAAACTCACGGAACCCTGGTCATAACCTGGAAATGCTCGCTTTTATGGAAGCAGATTGCAAACAATCGGAATAATCCCATGTGCAGTGCGTCTGTCAGACACAATGCGCATCTAGGTGTATGTACAAAGATTCACGCGTTAAATTCGCTTCAATTCTCATGACCAGACGTAAGCTACTCGCATGTGACGTTCGCGCAATGTGCCGGCACATACAGCTAAGCCCCTCCCCCTCCACCCCCCCCCCCCTCTTCTCCCCAGTATGCTCTTGCATTGTAAGTCTAAATCAGAGAGGACCCCAATGTTGATGGCGGCGAGATTTCTGAGCTTGTAAGAGCCGCTCAAAAATTGTACTCTAAACACAAGAACAAAAAAACCTTTGCTCGCTCATTTACTTCCACGAACACGCTTAGAAATGCGCATAGAGAGCACATCGCGCGACTCGCGGAAATCCACCCCGCTTCCGTGGAAGTTCAATTTCCCATTCAGATTACGGGCACCACTTTCGCAATCAGTGAAATTGGAGTAGAGCCGACGAACACGAACTCGAAACCGCTTGTACACATTTCGCCCCTAAGCTGACAGTGCTGTGGGACCTGTACACGTTCGCTGGACCAATCAACCTCCTATTCCCTCGCGTAGCCCGACCACGAAGTCTCCAGTCGGGTATGGATGAGGGCGAGAGCACGCGGTGAGATGTAAACGCACGATTTGGTTCCAAGCTCGTGGGTTTCGCAGAGCTGTCGCTTTGGGGCTGACACGAACTCGAGGTGCACGGCTAGAGTGCGGCGCAACCTAAGCCCAGGTCGCGGCTTTCGCTTAAGTTGGACTCCTCCATTCGATGTACGACCTTGCTCGAATGAGGACGACGAGGTTGAGTAGGATGACCTAGTTAGCGTCGAGAGCTTTGAAAGTTGGTCCGGGGGATTAAAACGAGTCGCCAGACTTCCTTTGACGTGTACGAGTTGAATGTTCCCTCAGTGGGTACGGGAAACAGATCGAACCCGCTAGTTCTAACTCGGAGTTTTGGGAAACGAACGAACCGTCACGTACGTTCTCCGATGACAGTAACAAAAGCGCTTTTGAATTGGTGGAATTTATGTGCGCACGAAATTTTTGTGTTTTCGGAGTTTTATTTTTCAGCTAGTTAAAAGTTCTTTAGCGGATTATGGGTACATTATGGGTACATTATATAATGTACCCATAATGTGCCTATTGTAAATACCCCATGTTTTGCTGCCTGTCAGAAATTTTCAAGATTTTTCGGATATAAAGCTAATTTCAGAAACGAATTTTGTATGACACTGCTAAAAGTTTCCTGCGAAATTTCAAAGCAGCTCAAAAATTATTGAAGTTTGCTATAAAAGAGAAGTCCAGAAAACCACTTTTTGAGATTTTAGAATGATTCTGCTAGCCAAAGTACACCACGCCAAAGTACGCCACAAGACCAACATGCACTACTTTGTTTTTTGCAAAACAAGGTAAAAAAACAAGGAGAAATCTACAAAGCAATTATTTGCAATAGTATGCCAACAATGTGACTCTATGATGTCTAAACGCAAATGCCGTCCAATTTTCCGGACTCGAAGGTAACCCCAAAAAGCAGTCTAAAAAAACTATTTTAAAGGCCGACGACCAGACTCGAGATTCTGCAAGGCAGAAGACCTTCCTCTCCACGCCTTCGGGCGAGGGAAGCGAAGGATGGAAAGATGGGGCCAAGAGTGGCGGGCGTGGGTGGAAAGGGTAGGAGGGAGGGGAGGAAGCGGGCGAAAAGTGGAAAGCGCGAACTGGTCGTCGGTCTTTAACTTAAATGAAAAAATTCCATGCAACCTCTGCATGGTATTGCCCACTTTCCACTTGTTTGATGCCAATATTAAGTTCTCATAACACTTCCACTTCATACTGGTAGCTTTCCACATGTTTGTATGATCGCAGTGCCAAGCGTTGCTGAGGTCATTGCTGCCGCATACAGTAAAGATAAAGCTGCTATGATTTGGAGGCTACATTCAGCTGACCAAGCTCGCTTTACTGCTGCGCCTATCTGCCAAATATACTCGCTCGAAGAACACGGGAAGAATGGCGGACAGTCGTTTTTCTCCTGGTCGCGGTAGGGAAATGCAAACACGAGAAGATACAGAAGTATGGCCACCAGATGGCGGCTATGTTGGATATAGTGGAACTGGAATATCTGACCGTGGCCTAATCCCGCTTTTTCATGCGTAAGACGGGGATTCGAGGCTACGAGACCAAACAACCAAAATGCTTGCAATGAAGCATACGGCGACTGTTTTTAAGTATAAATGGAAAAGAAAACTTCCGAAAATTTGAGCAACGAGGTGTACGGTATCCGAAATTTCAGTCAGTGCTATACATTAAGTTGCATAGTCGTAATTATACAAGGCTTGTATTATTAAGTTACTTTTAAGTATGTTTTCAATTTGCCACTTCGCAGTCAGCAGGAAAAGGAAAAATGTTTAGATGAAATAATGCTTGAGTACCATACCTTTTTGTGGCGCTATTTACGCGTGCTTGGCAGTTCTTCAGCCAACCCTTGGCTCCTGCTTTAATTTCCTCAAGCGTTGCACCACTCAGGCCTTTTATCAGTCTGACTGCTTCTGTAAATGGGGAAAATAAGAAAATCATAACCAAGTGCGTTATCCTGGTGCAATGATCACGGGAGATGTGAATGCCTACCACCACTACAAATAAAGATGGGTGAATATGTGAGTGTTCTGACCAGATTAAATGATAGGTCACCCTTTCGTTAATGACTACCGACATAGGCTGTGCCGATTCATGTTGCCCGGACTGCCCCATGCACACTCCATGACACTGCTAGTGATAAAAACGAAATTAGCACTTTTTCATTGTATTTTTGCTCATACAGAATATTGATGCGCTCCAAATAGTTCTTTAAGCTGGAGCTCAAAAATTAGCACTTTCTCCCACACTAGCAATTCTAATGGCAGGTATCAGTTACATAATTGAAACAAAGAAAAAGACAGCCCATTGCTTGTCCGTGCTAACTGTGACGTGCAGTGCACAACATCAGAGTTTGCTTGAATGTGCCTACCGAATTACTTGTTTCAAATTCCCTGACCGGTGTTTCTTTCGAAGGAGTGCTTCTACGACCAAAGAACTCTGACCTGCTATTGGTCCTATGCTCGCCGTAGTTGCTAAATTATGGAGCCCGAGTGGTTCTTCCCTTTTAATGGATGGTTGCTTGATCTGCCTAGTGACATTTCTGGCAACACTACTCAGTGCAGACACGCTGCTGCATGACAGTTGGGTTTCGTTGCACACCGCCATACCACTTCCATGTGTCATTTTCCCTGATTTAGCTCTTTACTAAAATTTCCTTGACTTTTCCATATGGTTCAAAATTCCCTGACAATCCCAGGTTTTCCAGATTAGTTGACACCCTGTATAATACATGAAGACGATTTACAATTTAATACAATTTATTGAAATTTCTTGTCATGTTGCTGTTGACATGTTTTACAGTAAGGGTTGTTTTAATTATTTGGAGCGGCACATTTCCAGAAATAATAATAATAATAATACTTTATTTTGTGCTAGTGTCCAAAAGCAGCTGCAAAGGCCTTGTTATTGGTACACTATAAACAAAAAATTAGCTTTACACTAAAAAACGAATGAACAGAAAACACAGCAACGTGAACA